GTTCAAGTGGTTCTCCTGCCTAAGCTTCCCGAGTCACTGGGATTACAGGCATGCACCACCACGTCCAGCTCATTTTCTTGTATTTTTAGTAGAGAAGGCGTTATACCATGTTGGCCAGGTTGGTTTTGAACTACTGACTTCAAGTGATCCACCTGCCTTGGCCTCCCAAAGTGCTTTAGTGCTGTGAATCACAGGCATGAGCCAGCATGCCCAGCTGCAAAGGTGTATTTTTGAGTAAAAAGAACAACGTACAAACAAAAAATAGGGAACAGCTGTGGGTGGTGGCTCATTCCTGTAATCCTAGCACTTTAGGAGGCTGAGGTGGGAAGATCGCTGGAGCCCAGGAGGTTGAGGCTACAGTGAGCCATGTTTGCACCACTGCTCTCCAGCTTGAGTAATGGAGCAAGACCCTGCCTCAAGAAAAATTAAAATAAAACCAAAACCTAAGCATGACGTTTGGGTTTTCATGCTATTTTATGATCTGCCTTCCTCAAAACTTGTTACGGTATCATCACATCACCCATCTGACACAAAAAAAGAAAAAATAGCCGGGCGCGGTGGCTCAAGCCTGTAATCCCAGCACTTTGGGAGGCCGAGGCGGGTGGATCACAAGGTCAAGAGATCGAGACCATCCTGGTCAACGTGGTGAAACCCCGTCTCTACTAAAACTACAAAAAATTAGCTGGGCACGGTGGCGCGTGCCTGTAGTCCCAGCTACTCAGGAGGCTGAGGCAGGAGAATTGCCTGAACCCAGGAGGCAGAGGTTGCGGTGAGCCGAGATCGCGCCATTGCACTCCAGCCTGGGTAACATGAGTGAAACTCCGTCTCAAAAAAAAAAAAAAAACAAAGAAAAAATAAAACCCAGAAACTGAAACTAAAAATATTCGTTCACACAGAAGACAGCAGGAACACTGAGAGAACAGGATCCAAAATGTGTGGGTTTTGATGGACAGGGTGGTAGGATCTGGGAGGCTCCACCTACCTCACCTCCTGACCACATTCCTGCAGTCCTATTCGGCATACAGACTAGAGTGACATCACCAGAAATGTAGACGCTTGGAAGGACACCAGTGACACAGAGAAGAGGAGGTCAGAGGTCCACAAGGCACCCAGCTCCTGGCCTCGGATGCCCAGGACTCTGTCCAGAAAGGCTCCCTCCCAGCCATGAAACTTGATGGTCCTCAAGTTCCTGAGGATGGAGCTGGTGAGCCGGGCCTGCAAGTCCTTCTGCCTCATTTGATCTCCTGGGATTGGAGGGAAGAGAGAGATGAAGACACGGCTGGTCCAGAATTCTCCCCTGCACTCTGACAGTCACCCTGCGGCAAATCCCACTGATCTCGCCAACTGTCCCAATGCTGTCTGCCTCTGTGCATCTCTGACCCTCAGTCCCGATCCATCCACCGTTATTCTGTGCCTGGACCCCTGCAGTAACTGACCCGGGACCACTGCCCCAGGGAGGCAGCTTCTGATGCCCGGGGAACAGAAGCTGCCCCTGAGCCCACCTGGGTATGGCACCATCAGGAAGGCTACCTGGAGGTAGGTAATGCCCTAGCTACATCTTTTTTTCTTTCATAGGAGGTCAGCACAGGATACAGGTCACAGAGACCTTGCTAGTAAAACAGCCTGCAATAAAGAAGCCTGTCCAAAACCCACCAAAACCAAGATGGCCAGGAGAGTGACCTCTGGTCATTCTCACTGCTACATTGCCACCAGCGCCATGACAGTTTACAAATGCCATGGCAACATCAGAAAGTTGCCCTATATGATCTAAAAAAGGGCAGTCATGAATAATCTACCCCTCGTTCAGCATGTCATGGAAAAAATAACCCTAAAGATGGGCACCAGCACCCTCTTGGCCGCTCTATGGAGTAGCCATTCTATCTTTACTTTCCTAAAAAACTTGCTTTTTTAGGAAAGAATAAACTTGCTCTGTGGCTCACACCTGTAATCCCAGCAATTTGTTAGGCTGGGGCAGGTGGATCGCCTGAGGTCGAGTTCGAGATCAGCGTGGCCAACATGGTAGAACCCCTTCTCTACTAGAAACATAACAATTAGCCAGGTGTGGTGGCATGCACCTGTGATCCCAGCTACTCAGGAGACTGAAGCAGGAAAATCACCTGAACCCGGGAGGCGTAGGTTATAGTGAGCCAAGATCACACTGCTACCCTCTATCTAGGCTGGGCAACAGAGTGAGACTATCTCAAAAAAAGAAAACAACAACAACAAAAACTAAAACAAACAAAACAAAACAAAACAAAAAATGTGCTTTCACTTTACGGACTCACACAATTGTTTCTTGCATGAGACCCTCCCTCAAGGTCTGGATGGGTTCCCCTTTCCTGTAACATAGCTGCAGATCCTGAAGAGGGTCAGACTTGGATTCTAAGATGGGGAGTCAGGGAATGTGATAAGGGCAGCTACCAGGTCTCAGGGATTTGGGCTCATGGGGGTCTGCTGGGTCAGGAGGCGCCTGCTGAAGATGGGGTACTTCAATGTCAGGGATGGGAATGGCCCACTTACACGATGGGGAGAGGGTTATATTCAAGACAGAACATGCACACACTGGAGTAGGACTGCTGGGTGTTCCTGGTCACAACGGTGAAGTTGAAACCTCTGGAATCAGAACTGGGTTCAAATCCTGACTCTGATGCTTGTTAATGTGGCCTTGGGGCAAGTCACCTCCCTAACGTGCAATTCCCTTGTCTGCAAAATGGGAACAGAATTGTCCTCATTTTGCATGTTTGCTCATTACATTTACGTATTTTCCTAATCTTCATTTTACCCTCATGAGGTTTGTCAGACTTAGCATTCATCATACAGATGCCCAGTTCCCTTTGAAGACAAAGAGTGAATAAGGTTTTAGTTTAAGTCTCGTGCATTATTTGAGACATACACACAGAGTCTGAAACTCACACTTCACTGTTTTCTCTGGCAACCTTGATCCCTACCAATGTGGCGCTTTTGGGATAGTTATCTCCACCCTCTCAGCTTTGGTTTCTATATCTGGAAAATGTGGAAGTGGGAGGTAGAATAAATAATTTTTAAGTTTCTGTGACTTTCTGAGAGCCTTTCACAGGTTACTTGAACTCATTCTCTCACCAAGCCCCACCCCAACTCCAATCTGCATGCCTCAGTTTTCCCTCTCAGTCCTTAGGAATACTATATATACTTTTTTGAGATGGAGTCTCGGTCTTTTACCCAGGCTGGAGTACCAAGTCGCGATCTTGGCTCACTGCAACCTCTGCTTCCCGACCAACTCTCCTGTCTCAGCCTCCCGAGTAGCTAGGATGACAGGTGTGCATCACTATGCCTGGCTAATTTTTGTATTTTCAGTACAGACAGAGTTTCACCATGTAACCAGGCTGGTCTCTAACTCCTGGCCTCAAGTGATCTACCCGCCTCAGCCTCCCTAAGTGCTGGGATTATAGGTTTGACCCACCCCACCCAGCTCAAAGAAAGCAAAACACTATTTTCTAATGTTGGGTCAGTTTGTTTCATTCACATGGTGGCTTCATGGAGAAGTGCCCTGAAGGTAAACCACCCACAGCAGGGGTTGGAAAAACAAAGGAATCTGACAGAAGATGAGCATCTCTCTCTGGGGGAAAAATGGTTCATTAAACTGTAGCAACCTCAGTATCTACCCCTCCTTCACCAGGATCTCATGGTGATGTTAGGAGCTGTCTACCAAGAGGCAGGAAAAGTGCACAGGGAAAGTGACCTGGTGCATTATCTGCGGATATCTTGGTCTTCTCTGATTTTTTTTTTTTTTTTTTTTGAGGGGTTGTCTTGCTCTGTCCCTCAGGCTGGAGTGCAGTGGTGTAATCTCGTCTAACTGCAATTTACACGTCCCGGGTTCAAGCGATTCTCCTGCCTCAGCCATGCCCGGTTCATTTTTGTATTTTTAGCAGAGACAAGGTTTCATCATGTTAGCCAGGCTGATCTTTAACTCCTGAGCAGAAGTTATCTGTCCACCTCAGCCTCCCAAAGTGCTGGGATTACAGGTATGCACCCCCATGCCTGGCAGAAGGATCAGGTTTTCTCATTTTATTTCTATATTTTAGACGGAGTCTCTCTGTCACCCAGGCTGGAGTACAATGGTGTGGTCCTGGCTCACTGCAACCTCCACCTCCTGGGATTCTCTGGCCTCAGCCTCTCGAGTAGCTGGGACTACAGGCATGTGCCACCACACCTGGCTAATTTTTGTATTTTTAGTAGAGATGGGGTTTCACTATGTTGGCCATGATGGCCTCGAACTCCTGACCTTTGGTGATCCTCCCACCTCGGCCTCCTAAAGTGCTGGGATTACAAGCGTGAGCCACCGTGCCTGGCCATGGGTCTTCTTGAACCAAAGCATATCCCTTGTCATGTTTAACAGAATTGTGCCCCAGCCCTGTACTGTCCTTGATTCATCCTCCTTTAAATAGCGAACCTCTCAAAGGCTGTAACAAACATGGAAGAGCCACTGGCCAGGTGGGCTGGGTGGTGGCAGGGGTGCTGGGCTCCCAGCAGTTGTCATCCCCTTTCCAGGATGTACACATGGCCTCATGTACCTGTCCTTTTATCTCCTAGGTCAGTTCGTCGACACCGTCTGGGTGAAAAAAGGAGACCAGATCTTGTTTTCATCCATGTTCAAAAGCCAATATCACCACCCACAACATTGCTGTCAGTGCTTGCCCAAGCCACCGGTAGCCTAGAAATATTTAGACCTGGTTTATTAACCATACACCTGCCAGGCCCAACCCAGCCAAAACATGAAATTGACCGGGCACAGTGACCCACATCTGTAATCCCAGCACTTTGGGAGGCCAAGGCGGGTGGATCTCCTGAGGTCAGGAGTTTGAGACCAGCCTGGCCAACATAGTGAAACTCAATCTCTACTAAAAATATAAAAATGAGCTCGGTGTGGTGGTGCACACTTGTAATCCCAGCTACTAGGAAGGCTCAGGTGGGGGAATCACTTCAACACAGGAGGTGGAGGTTGCAGTGAGCCAAGATTGAACCACTGCACTCCACCCTGGGCAGAGCGTGAGACTCCATCTCAAAAAACAACAGTAACAACAACAAAAACACAAAAATCGGGCCCGGCGCGGTGGCTCAAGCCTGTAATCCCAGCACTTTGGGAGGCCGAGGCGGGTGGATCATGAGGTCAAGAGATCGAGACCATCCTGGTCAACATGGTGAAACCCCGTCTCTACTAAAAATACAAAAATTCAGCTGGGCATGGTGGCGTGTGCCTGTAATCCCAGCTACTCAGGAGGCTGAGGCAGGAGAATTGCCTGAACCCAGGAGGTGGAGGTTGCGGTGAGCCGAGATCGCGCCATTGCACTCCAGCCTGGGTAACAAGAGCGAAACTCCGTCTCAAAAAAAAAAAAAACACACACAAAAATCAAACCCCCGCCCTTTTTGTTTTTTTTAGAGATAGATAAGGACTTCCTGTGTTGTCCAGGCTACAGTGCAGTGGTACAATCATAGCTCACTGCAGCCTCTTACTCCCAGGCTCAAGCAGTCCTCCCACCTCAGCCTCCTGAGTAGCTGGAGTTACAGGTGCATGCTACCATGCCCAATTAATATTTATGTGTGTGTGGAGATAGGGTCTCACCATGTTGGCCAGGCTGGCCTCAAACTCTGGGCTTTAAGTGATCCTCCCATCTCAGCCTTCCAAAGTGCTGGGATTACAGGCATGAGCCTCTATTCCTGGCCAAAACCTGATTATACATTCATGAATGACCGAGGGCATGAGTTTCTGTGTCCTTTAACAATGAAATGGATTATTCCTTGGGTATAACTTTGCTGGGGATGCTGTAACAAAGTGCCACAAACTAAGTGGCTTAGAACAAGACAAATTTGTTGTCTCAGGCTAGATGCCATGGCTCATGTCTGTAATCCCTGTACTTTGGGAGCATGAGAGGATCTCTTGAGGTCAGGAGTTCGAGACCAGCCAGGCCAATAGGATGAAACCCCATCTCTGCTGAAAAAATACAAGGCCGAGAGTGGTGGCTCACGCCTGTAATCCTAGCACTTTGGGAGGCTGAGGTAGGCAAATCGTGAGGTCAGGAGTTCGAGACCACCTTGGCCAACATGGTGAAACCCTGTCTTTACTAAAAATACAAAAATTAGCTGGGTGTGGTGGTGTGCGTCTGTAATCCTACTCAGGAGGCTGAGGCAGGAGAACAGCTTGAACCCAGAAGGTGGAAGCTGCAGTAAGCTGAGATCGCACCACTTTACTCCAGACTGGGGGACAGAGCAAGAATCCATCTCAAAAAAAAAAAAAAAAAAAAGCCAGGCACGGTTGCATGTGCCTGTGTTCCCAAGCTCCTCAGGAGGCTGAGGTGGGAGGATTGCTTGAGCCAGGGAGAATGAGGCTGCAGTGAGCTGAGATCGTGCCGCTGCACTCCAACCTGGGTGACAGAGCAAGACCCTGTCTCAATAAATCAATAAATAAAATAAAAAGTTGTTGTCTCCCAGTTGGGAGGCCGGAAGTGTAAAGTCAGGTGTCTGCAGGCCGGGCTCTCTCTGGAGGCTCTGGAGAAAAATCTGTCCCAGCCTCTCTCCCAGCTCAGGCATCTCTTGATTTATAGTGGCCATCGCCCTTCTATGCATGTGTGCCTCTGTGTGCAAATTTACCTTTGGGCAGGCACAGTGGCTCACACCTATAATCCCGGCACTTTGGGAGGCTGAGGCAAAATTAGCTGGGCATGGTGGAAAACACCTGTAGTTCCAGCTACTCAGGAAGCTGAGGTGGGAGGGTCACTTGAACCTAGGGGTTTGAGGCTGCATTGAGCTATGATCACACCACTACACTCCAGCCTGGGTAACAGAACAAGACTGTCTCAAGAAAAAAAAATTTATTTTTTCTTTTACTGGCAACAAATTTCCCTTTTAGTAAGGACACCAGTTATATGGGATCAGGGCCCCATCTACATGACCCATTTTAACTTGATGACCTCTGTAACGACCCGGTCTCCAGGTAAGGTCATGCTTGTAATCCCAGCACTTTGGAAGGCTGGGGTGGGAGGATCACTTGAGGCCAGGAGTTCAAGACCATCCTGGGCAACATAGTGAGACTTCACATCTACAAAAAGAAAAAAAATTAGCTGGGTGTAGGGGTGTGTATCTGTAGTCCCAGCTCCTTGGGAGGCAGGAGCACAGAGCGAGCCCAGGAGGTAGAGGCTGCAGTCATTTGTGATTGTGCCACTGCACACCAGCTGGACAACAGCAAGACCTAGTCTGTCTCAAGAGAAAAAAAAAAAAGGTTTTCTGATCCAATGTGGGTTAATTTTTTAAAACTTTAACTCTGTATTTTTTCATATTGCTTAGCTTTTCCACATGAACTCTGTGATTATAACCAGAAAATAGCAGTCACATTACTTTTTTTTACCTTTTGAGATGGAGTTCTGATCTTGTTGCCCAGGCTGGAGTGCAGTGGCATGATCTCTGCTCACTGCAACCTCTGCCTCCTGGGTTAAGCAATTCCCCTGCCTCAGTCTCCTGAGTAGACGGGACTACAGGCGCATGCCACCCTACCTCGCTGATTTTTGTATTTTTAGTAGAGAGGAGGATTCACCTTGTTGGTCAGGCTGGTCTCGAACTCCTGGCTTCAAGTGATCTGCCCGCCTCAGCCTCTCAAAGTGCTGGAATTGCAGGCATCAGCCACAGCACCCGGCTATACTTATCTTTTTGTCCACAGAAATGACCAGCATTTCAATTTTTGTTTGTCTTGGTTTGTTTTTCTTAGATGAAAACAAACCAGCAGTTATAATTGGGGAGGACAATTTGCATTATGGGAACCTGGGAGTCGTGCCAAGTTCCGTAATCAAAGTTGGTAAAAAGAAACTGGGGTTATGGGGTGGGGGCGGTGGCACACACGCCTGTAATCCCAGCACTTTGGGAGGCCGAGGTGGGTGGATCACCTGAGGTCAGTTTGAGACCAGCCTGGCCAACATGGTGAAACCCTATCTCTACTAAAAATACAAAAATTAGCCAGGCCTAGTAGTGGGTGCCTGTAGTCCCAGTTACTCGTGAGACTGAGCAGGAGAATCACTTGAACCTGGGAGAGGGAGTGAGACCCTGTTTAAAAAAAAAAAAAATTCATCCTGGGATGCAAGTCTGGTTCAACATACACAAGTCTATAAACGTAATTCACCATATAAACAGAACCAAAGACAAAAACCACATGATTATCTCCATAGATGCAGAGAAGGCAAAACTCTCAATAAACTAGGTATTGTTGGAACATCTCAAAATAATAAAAGCTATTTATGACAAACCCACAGCCAATATCCTACTGAATGGGCAAAAGCTGGAAGCATTCCCTTCAAAATCTGGCACTAAACAAGGATGCCCTCTCTCACTACTCCTATTCAATATAGTATTGGAAGTTCTAGCCAGAGCAATCCGACAAGAAAAAGAAATAAAGCGTATTCAATTAGGAAAGGGGGAAGTCAAATTGTCTATTTGCAGACGACATGATTGTATATTTAGAAGACCCCGTCTCAGCCAAAAATCTCCTGAAACTGATAAGCAACTTCAGCAAAGTCTCAGGATACAAAATCAATGTGCAAAAATCACAAGCATTCCTATACACCAATAACAGACTTAAAGAGAGCCACATCAAGAATGAACTGCCATTCACAATTGCTACCAAGAGAATAAAATACCTAGGAATACAACTAACATTAAATGTAAAGGATCTCTTCAAGGAGAACTACAAACCACTGCTCAACGCAATAAGAGAGGACACGGAGAAACACTCCATGCTCATGGTTAGGAAGAATCAATATTGTGAAAATGGCCATACTGCCCAAAGTAATCTATAGATTCAATGATATCCCCATCAAGCTACCAATGACCTTCTTCACAGAACTGGAAAAAAAAACACCTTAAACTTCATATGGAACCAAAAGAGAGCCCGCATAGCCCAGTCAAATCTAGGCAAAAAGAACAAAGCTGGAGGCATCACACTACCTGACTTCAAACTACACTACAAGCCTACAGTAATCAAAACAGCATGGTACTGGTACCAAAACAGATATAGACCAATGGAACAGAACAGAGGCCTCAGAGGCAATGCCACACATCTACAACCATCTGATCTTTGACAAGCCTCACAAAAACAAGCAATGGGAAAAGGATTTCCTGTTTAATGAATGGTGCTGAGAAAACTGGCTAGTCCTGTGCAGAAAGCAGAAACTCGACCCCTTCCTGACACCTGACACTGAAATTAACTCCAGATGGGTTAAAGACTTAAACATAAGACCTAGCACCATAAAAACCCTAGGAGAAAACATAGGCACAACCATTCAGGACATAG